AACTGCAACCGCCGGTTTACAGCCACGCGGTTTACAGCCGCGAGGGGCTGGGACAGGGCCAGAGTTCATGCTTGCAGGATTGCTGCCAGCAGAGACTCGCATTGCTTTCTATGTGAAAGGAGGCCAGTGCCACTCTTAAAGTTTTAAGCGGCCACAAGTCTACGGCTTACCATGTTTGCCATCTAGACAAAGTCCGGTGTCCTGCCCTGCTCCTCAGCTCGCCACAGCAAGACCGCAGGCACTGTAGGCGAGGGCCGAAAATTCGACCTTGTCCTCAGTGCGCGTGTGATAGGTGCTCTGCATGGTCTTGTTCACAGAGAAAGACTATGTTCTCTGTTCACAGATACATTGCTCTGTCTCAGGAATTCACTCCCTTTTTCCAATTCCCACAGCCACATCTGCCCAGAGGCTAGCGCACATTAGGAGGAGGAAGAAGAGGACACGGGAAGACATGTTTGCTGAACTAATGGAATGCTCCCGAGCACAGGCAGCCCAGCAGACACAGTGGAGGGAGAACTTGTCCCAAATGCACCGGGCAAACATTGAACGGGAGGAGAGGTGGCGACAGGAGGACAGGCAGGCTACTCAAACGCTGCTTGGACTAATGAGGGAGCAAACGGACACGCTCCGCCGCCTTGTGGATGTTCTGCAGGACCGGAGGCAGGAGGAGAGAGCCCCGCTGCAGTCTCTCTGTAACTGCCCTGCCCCGCCACCAAGTCCCATACCCCCCTCACCCAAAGTCCAAACACGGAGGGGTGGAAGGGGCCGGGAAAAATTTCACTCCACCCCTGCGGACTGCTCTACCACTAGAAGGCTCTCATTCCCCAAAATTTGAAAAGTCCTTTCCTACCCGCCTCACACAAGACCCCGTCCAAGTTTCACCCCCCCGTTCCATGTGCGGTTGTTAATAAAGAATACGTTTCTGTTCATTTCTGTTTCCATCCTCTTCTTTTGGAGGGGAGTCTGTCTGGAGGGGGGGGAAGGGCCTTGGTCATTGGACAGGACAGTCACCTTTAGCAGGGGGCAGGTGCAGCAGCAGGGCACATATACAGTGCAGTGACTAGTTATCCTGGTCAGTCTGGGAGGTGGTTTTCATGTTCTGTGTGGTGGGGGCGGTGGTGTTGCTCTGTGACTTGGTGGCGGGGGAGGGCAGTTACAGATCTTATGCAGCGGTCCTTACCCTGGATCACAGAGCCGCGCAGCAGGGGATCTGTAACCCTCCTCCCCCTGCAAGACAGTCACATAGCCGACACATACACGCAGTCCCGGCCAGGAGGGCTGGCAGGCTCCGTTGAAACAACCAGTCCACCATCGCGGAGCCTGTCATTCCTGGAGTTTAGAAGCATCATTTGCATCACAACCCTAAACCCGCTCCCCGCCACAGTCTGCGTCCCAGGTTTAAAACATTCCCGTGAAAACAGTAATAAAGACAACGGTGTCCATGAACAAAACAGAACAGATTTTATTTTTTGGGAAGGGGGTGAAGGGGGTATGTAATTGGAGAGGATAGTCGACGGCAACTGGGTAAAGAAACGGGGGCAAGTTCAGCTTCTGTGTCCACAAACTTAAAAGTCAATGGGTACCCTGCTCAGCCTTGAAACTGGCTTTCAAAGCCTCCCGGATGCACAGCGCGTCCCGCTGGGCTCTTCTAATCGCCCGGCTGTCTGGCTGGGCGTAATCAGCAGCCAGGCTATTTGCCTCAACCTCCCACCCCGCCATAAAGGTCTCCCCCTTGCTCTCACACAGATTGTGGAGCACACAGCAAGCTGCAATAACGATGGGGATATTGGTTTCGCTGAGATCACAGCGAGTGAGTAAGCTTCTCCATCTCCCCTTGAGACGGCCAAAAGCACACTCCACTACCATTCTGCACTTGCTCAGCCGGTAGTTGAACAGTTCTTTTTCTGTGTCCAGGGCGCCAGTATAGGGCTTCATGAGCCAGGGCATTAGCGGGTAGGCTGGGTCCCCGAGGATCACTGTAGGCATCTCCACATCCCCAACAGTTATCTTGTGGTCCGGGAAGTAAATACCTTCCTGCAGCCGTCTAAACAGACCAGAGTTCCTGAACACGCGAGCGTCATGAACCTTGCCCGGCCATCCGACGTAGATGTTTGTAAACCGTCCCCGATGGTCCACCAGTGCTTGCAGCACCATTGAAAAGTACCCCTTTCTATTGATGTACTGGCTGGCCTGGTGGCCCGGTCCCAGGATAGGGATGTGAGTCCCATCTATAGCCCCACCGCAGTTTGGGAATCCCATCGCAGCGAAGCCATCTATGATGGCCTGCGCGTTTCCCAGGGTCACTACCTTTGACAGCAGTACCTTGACGATTGCCTTGGCTACTTGCATGACAACAACCCCCACGGTAGATTTGCCCACGCCAAAGTGGTTCGCGACTGACCGGTAGCTGTCCGGCGTTGCAAGCTTCCAGAGGGCTATGGCCACTCGCTTCTGGACAGTCAGGGCTGCTCGCATGCGGGTGTCCTTGCGCTTCAGGGCAGGGGACAGCAACTCACAAAGTTCCAGGAAAGTCCCCTTCCGCATGCGAAAGTTTCGCAGCCACTGGGATTCATCCCAGACCTGAAGCACTATGCGGTCCCACCAGTCCGTGCTTGTTTCCCGGGCCCAGAATCGCCGTTCAACAAAATCCACATGCCCCATTGCAAACGTGATGTCCTCGGCGCTGGGTGTCGTGGTTTCTGACAGCTCTGTGCTACTCTCCGACTTCAGGCCCTCACTCCGCTGCCGTAGCCTCCTCGCCTGATTTCTCTGCATCTGCCTCTGGGAAAGGTGTATGATAAGGTGCGAGGCGTTGAGAACGGCCACAACTGCAGCGATGGTCGCAGCGGGATCCATGATCGCAGTGCTGTGGCGTCCGCGCTGTCACTGATCAAAAAGTGCGCGAACTGATTTCCCGCCGGCGCTTTCAGGGAGGGAGGCAGGGCGGTAGTGACTGACGGATGACGACAGTTACCCAAAAGCACCCTCGCCACAATTTTTTACCCAGAAGCCATTGGGGGCTCGACCCAGAATTCCACTGGGCAGCGGGGACTGCGGGAACTGTGGGATAGCTGCCCACAGTGCACTGCTTCCAATGTCGACGCTTTCCCTGGTAGTGTGGACTGACAAAGTCGAATTACTGTCCTTAGTGTAGACACACACGTTCGACTTTCTAATATCGATTGCACATATTCGATTTAACTAAAATCGAACTACTCTCGTAGTGTAGACATACCCTTAGTCTGTGTGCAAGTGAGTTAAATGCCCACATTGTATAAACATATCAAAGACGCTCACTCCTGGATTAAATGTGGCACCAGAGATTTCAAATCTAGCTCACTTATTGAAATGTTGCCCCCATTGCTCACTTGTTAAATTTTCAAACACGCACCTTCGTGCTTTCCCCCAGGCTGCCCCTCACACCCTGTACACATCCTCAAAGCCCCATCACTGTTCTCCTTAAGCCCCTTCTCAAAGCTCTCCTTTGCCCTGATGCTACAAACAACTTGGCAATGGCTAGGCTGCTGGCATGCAGAGATCACTGCCTGTCGCCTTGACCACTATTGTCGCATTGTTTCCTTGCACTCCCCTGTCTGTAACCACATCTTGTCTCTTGGCTTATGCTCCGACTGTTGAGCCAGGGATTGTCTTTTTGTTCTGTGTTTGTACAGCTCCCAGCACAACAGGTCCTGGCCCCTGACTAAGGCTCGTAGGCACTAAGATAATACAAATAATAAATAGGAGCCCTTTTTAGGGAGCAAACATTTTAAAAAGTAGATTAATCACCCTTTTGAATTTGAATAAAAGCTGGATTCCATGTTTTTAGGGAAGCATTTCTGAGCTCGTCTAACTAGACGGTGAAGCCACTCAGCCCTCACACAGGCTAGTCCCGGGGACAATCAGAAAATACACAACCGAAAAAGATTAATGTTTTTGGAAAAAATGAGCTCTGGCCATTCCAGCAGCAGCCAGTCACTTAGTGCTGCTGCTCAGGGCAAACAGAGCTCCCCTGGTCTGGGAACGAGACCTGTTTGGTGGGAGAAGGGTGAAATGCTCTGGCCTGGGTGCTGGCTGGGGGAGAGAGCAGGAACACGGGTAATACTTGCAAAACGGAGATCTGGTCTGCACTACAGACCTATATCGCTCAGGGGTGTGAAAACTCCACACCCCTGAGCGACATAGTGATACTGACCTAACCCCAGGTGTAGGCAGAGCTACGTCAGCGGGAGAGCTTCTCCTCCCACCAGCACACCTACGGCCTCTCGGGGAGGTGGGCTAACTACGCTGATGCGAGAGCTCTCTCCTGTTGGCGTACAGCGTCTTCATTAACGCGCGGCTGCTGCGCCGACGCCGCATTTTAAGCGTTGACTTGCCTTGAGCAGTGCACTGCTAAGGCCCCATCCACATGGCAGGAACCTTGCTAGCGATGGCTATTTTAATGGCTAGGTTTAAACCCAGCCTAATTTGGGCAGAAATTCCTGTCCCAAGAACTGAAATCTATTCTAGACGATAAGGACAGAGATGCTGGTGTTGCTAGCACCGCTCCAGCTGGAGTGTGCATAGGACCTGGATGGCAAAGGTTTTGCCTGGGAAACCCCAAAGATCTTACAGACCAAATGCCCCACTGCCGAATCCTCCTACTTGTGTCCTTAGCTGGGGACTGGCCTGACTCTGAGATGGCTCCCGCTCCAGAGCACAACGCCCCAGCCTGAGCTCCATCCTGCTTCTTACTGCATGCAGCCCCGGCCCCCCCGCACCTAGCACTGACCCCCCACACACACTGCATGCAACCCCCCCACTCCTCCCCCCCTGCATGCAGCCCCGGCCCCCCCACACTGCATGAAAACCCCCCACTCCTCCCCAACACACCTAGCACTGACCCCCCCC